TCTGCTTCTTGCTTCAGGAAATTTTTGGCTTTTGAGAGGGTTCAACCTAATGGTGTCTGGAGGGGAGATGGGACGAGGGCGTCTGTGTGGGTCAGTGTTTGGAGTGACTAGGGCCCTCCTGTGCAGGAGCCAAGGGTGTGGTCTTGTGGGACAGGCATGGGAACAGCTGGGGTCACTGAAACCTGGCTGCTAAGAAGCGGACCTGGCTTCCAAGCGTGAGGTCTTCGCTCCCTGAGAGGTTCTGTGGAGAGCTGCTGCCCTGAGTCTGAGAGTCTGAGGGTAGATTTTTTTTTTTTTTCTTTTTTGGGACAGAGTCTCACTCTGTCGCCCAGGCTGGAGTGCAATGGTGCGATCTGGGCTCACTGCAACCTCCAGCTCCCTGGTTCAAGCGATTCTTCTGCCTCAACCTCCCAAGTAGATGGGATTACAGATGCCCGACACCATGCCTGGCTAATTTTTTGTATTTTTAGTAAAGATGGGGTTTCACTACATTGGCCAGGCTGGTCTCAAACTCCTGACCTTGTGATCCGCCCGCCTTGGCTTCCTGAAGTGCTGGGATGACAGGTGGGAGCTACCATGCCTGGCCGACTACGTATGTTATCGTATGTGCTGGGTCTGTTTTTTTGTCTCGCTCTTGCCACTCAGGCTGGAGCGCAGTGGTGCGATCTCAACTCACTACAACCAATCTCTGCCTCCCGGGTTCATGCGATCCTCCCACCTCAGTCTCCAAGAAGCTGGAACTCTAGGCAGGAGCCACCATGGCTGGCTCAATTTTGTTTTTTTTTTTGGTTTTTTTTTTTTTTTTGAGGCGGAGTTTCGCTCTTGTTACCCAGGCTGGAGTGCAATGGCGCGATCTCGGCTCACCGCAACCTCCGCCTCCTGGGTTCAGGCAATTCTCCTGCCTCAGCCTCCTGAGTAGCTGGGATTACAGGCACATGCCACCATGCCCAGCTAATTTTTTGTATTTTTAGTAGAGACGGGGTTTCACCATGTTGACCAGGATGGTCTCGATCTCTCGACCTCGTGATCCACCCGCCTCGGCCTCCCAAAGTGCTGGGATTACAGGCTTGAGCCACCGCGCCCGGCCTCAATTTTGTATTTTTGTGGAGAAGGGGTTTTACCATGTTGCCCAGGCTGGTCTCAAACTCCTCACCTCAAGTGATCCACTCCCCTTGGCCTCCCCAGAATGCTGGGATTACAGGCATGAGCCGCCACTCTTAACCCTAAACAGGGAAAAACAAAGCAGTAAGAGCTGAGATTCACCTTTAAAAGCCTCTGATTCCAAATTTAGTCACCCAATGTGTCTTCGTATTAATGAATGAGGAGCTTAAGGACTTGAGGCCATTTGTCGGGACTGACAAGGAAGCCCATCTGTGTTTTCTTCCTGGAAAGGGAAACAAATTACAATGGAGCTGCCACCCACCGTGGCACCCAGTGGGTTGCTGATGCTGCTGAGATCTTGGGATCCCTCTCAGACTCCCTGAGGAGGCCTCCTGGACCCATTTCCCACATGGCTCCAGGGCACAGAGCTTCCTGATTTACTGGAATTACTTGTGTTCTTTAAGATCCCTTGTGGGGGATGGGGGAAGTGGGTGGTGGGAAAAAAATGTAGAACTTAAATTTGCTTTTTTTTTTTTTTTTTGAGACAGAGTCTTAACTTTGTCACCCAGGCTGGAGTGCAGTGGTGTGATCTCGGCTCACTGCAACCTCCGCCTCCCAGGTTCAAGTGATTCTCCTGCCTCAGCCTCCTAAGTAGCTGGGATTATAGGTACCCGCCACCACATCTGGCTATGTTTTGTATTTTTAGTGGAGATGGGGTTTCAGATTGATCTTGAACTCCTGACTTCAAGTGATTGCCTCCCTTGGCCTCCCAAAGCTGGAATTTGTCCTTATTTTAAAAATACAACTATAAGAAAGCAATTAAGCATTGCTAATGTTTAACATGCAAAATAGGAAATAATATGCAAAATAATAGGAAAAATATACATATACTTTGGGAATACATGCTCAAATTTTCGCATCACGATTGTGTGGCCCCTGCCAATGACCTCCTTGTGGACAATTTTCAGTAACTCCAGGCCCAGATCAGGATCAGCTCTAAAAATGGACGCTGAATGCAACAATGTACGTAAAATGCAAACTGTTTCTACCTCCTAGAGCAGGCGTCCCCAAACTTTTTACACAGGGGGCCAGTTCACCGTCCCTCAGACCGTTGGAGGGCCGCCACATCCTGTGCTCCTCTCACTGACCACCAATGAAAGAGGTGCCCCTTCCTGAAGTGCGGCGGGGGGCCGGATAAATGGCCTCAGGGGGCTGCATGTGGCCCGCGGGCCGTAGTTTGGGGACGCCTGTCCTAGAGGGTCTCCAGGCCTCCCTTCTGGCAGAGGGGACAGTACGAGCATGGCCTATTAACTGTAGAAAAAGGCCCCTGCTGGGCCTGGTGCAGTGGCTCACACCTGTAATCCTTGCACTTTGGGAGGTGGGTACCTCACGAGGTCAGCGGTTTGAGACCAGCCTGGCCAACACCGTGAAACCCCATCTCTACTTAAAATACAAAAATCAGCTGGACACGGTGGCAAGTGCCTGTAATCCCAGCTACTTGGGAGGCTGAGGCAGGAGAATCCCTTGAACCCAGGAGGTGGAGATTGCAGTGAGCACAGATTGTGCCACTGCACTCCAGGCTGGGTGAAAAGAGCTGCATTCCGTCTCAAAAAGAAGGAAAAGGCCCCTGCTGTAGGTGTAGGTGTCAGCTTTGAGAGAAGCAACTGGGGTTGCGGAGTCTTTGTCTGGTTTACACCCACCCGGTGGCTTCTGCTTAGACACAACTCTTGTCCTCCAGAGCCCAAGATGGTCCAAGGAAATGACTCATGATCATGACTTTGGGCCCCCAGCATGACGTGGCACAGGCTGAGGGAGGCCACAGGGGTACATGCCCCACAGCCCAGGAGATTTGATCGCTTAGGACCATTCCAGTTCCCAGAGGGAGGCCGGAGGCAGACCACTGGGCCTTTAAATTCACCTCATACCCTCCTTCTAGCCCCAGGTGACAGTAAGGAATGCAACCCGTGATGTCTGTAGCCACTGGAATAGCGCCTTAGGGATGGTGCCAGATGGCTTCACATGTGTGTGTTATTTTTTGAGACAGAGTCTGGCTCCATTACCCAGGCTGGAGGGCAGTGGCGCAATCATGGCTCCTTGCAGCCTCAAACTCCTGGGCTTAAGTGATCCTCCCACCTCAGCCTCCCAGGTCGCTGGGACAACAGGCACATGCCACCATGCCCAACCAACATTTTTGTCGTTTTTGCACAGATGGTTTCACCATGTTGCCCACGCTGGTCTTGAACCCCTGACCTCAAGTGATCCGCCCATCTTGGCCTCCCAAACTGCTGGGATTACAGTGTAAGCCACCTCGCCCAGCTATGTTTGTGTATATTCTACGACGTAAGTGTCATGAACACCTGGGGCCCCTTAAGGACTTGAGGCCATTTGTCGGGCCTCAAGTGAACCCGCGGCAGGCTCACGGACATGTCCTCTTCTACCACTGGCACGGGCCCTTCCCGGGGCAAACCACAATCCGCATTTGTCTATTCCTCCTTCCCATCAAGCAAACACTGCTTCATCACATGCTCGTGTCTAAGCAAGAACTGCTTGATTTGCTTGCCCGAGCCTTTCGCATGAATGGCTCCCTGGAGAGCCTCCTGAAACCTGCTCTTTCTACTCAACTTTCTCCTAGCACCCATCCGTATGAACAGCAGCTTTTTTGGTTTCACAATACATTTATTTAGAAAAGCAACATACAGTAACAGTACTTCAGAGAATGCAGCAAAGCGTAAAGAGAAATACAAAAGACACTTGGGATACAGCCGCTGGCTTCTGCCTTCCACACACAGTGGATTTTGCTGTAACTGACTAGGGGAACTCTGGTGCCAGGAAGTTCACAACCAAGTCTGTGGCCACCACTGCAGCTGTGGTCAGTTCTATGGACTGATGTTATGCTGGGATTCGCTGTTCTTTCATTTAACAAATGTGACAGGGACTGGGCTGGGGACACACAGGAGTAAGTGGGTCTCCGCCTGTGGGAGCTCAGAATCTAACAGTGAGACAGAGGCGCAAACAGCTAGCAAAGGACAGCGTAGGTAAGTGCCACCAAGGTGCAGGCTCAGGGTACTATGGGGACCTGCAAGGCCACCAGACTGAGCTCTGGGTAGCTGGGAAGGCTTCCTGGAGGAGGTGAGGCCAGAGGTGGGGTAAGCCTGGGCCAGGCACAAGGCAGGCCTCTCGGCTCCCGCATGTGGTTCCTCAACACCCTGTGTACAGGCCTCTCAGCTGACCTGTCTTCTGTGAAATTCTCCATCCCACTGTCTGTTCTATTCACACTGTGCTTTGTCTTGGTGGTTGGCTTTCACGAACCCACATCTTATACTCCAAAACTAGGCTGCTGTTTCCTGGGAGGTTCTTTTTTTTTGAGACAGAGTCTCACTGTCACCCAGGCTGGAGTGCAGTGGTGCAATCTCGGCTCACTACAGCACCTCCTGGGTTCAAGCGATTCTCCTGCCTCATCCTCTCCAGTAGCTGGGATCACAGACGCTCGCCACCACGCCCAGCTGGTTTTTGCATTTTTGGAGAGACGGGTTTCACTGGGTTGGCCAGGCTGGACCTCAAACTTTGACCTCATGTGATCTGCCCGCCTCGGCCTCCCAAAGTGCTGGAATTACAGGCACGAGCCACTGCGCCCAGCCTTGGAGGCTCTCTTACGCTTGGTGTTTTTCACGGCACCTGTGACTATGTTTTGGATGGAGCAGCTGCCCACCCGACCCTAGCTGGGACCAAGACCGTCAGCCCTTCTCCAGCACCTGGCTGAGGCAGGATGAGGTGGGTGTTTGCTGTGGGTGAAAAGGGGACAAAGACACCAAAATGGGCCGGGCGCGGTGGCTCAAGCCTGTAATCCAAGCACTTTGGAGGCCAAGGAGAGCGGATCACCTGAGGTCGGGAGTTCAAGACCAGCCTGACCAACATGGTGAAAACCCGTCTTTAAAAAAAAAAGACACTGAAATGAAAGCCACAGAAGCCACACCCATGAGGCTGTTCCCTGGGCAGAGGGCTCAGGATATTTCCTAAGTGGAAAAAGTCAAAGCACACAACAACTGTCTCAAGGGCACAGTCACGCGAAGGAAAGCAAGAAACAAGTATGTTGCCGCAACCCCACACCAGACAACAGGGCACACCAGACAACAGGGGAGTTCCCCGGGGACCCGCGGGGGCTCAGTCAAAGGTGATGCGGAAGCTGCGCTCCTGCTCCTTGCGCCGGCCCTCGCACACCTTGGTCACCTCCTCTACCTTCCTCTGCAGCAGGGCCGAGTTCTGGTCGATCCACTGCAGCGAGTCCATGTGCGCATTGAGGATCTTGCAGATCTGCTGCAGCGGGTCGCTGGTGTCGGCGGGGGCCCCGGACGTGTTCAGGTGCTCGATGATGTCCTTGAGGTCCTGGGCCATGCGCTTCAGCTGAGCATCGATGTTCTCGGCCAGCTTGTAGGTCTTCTCGCGCTCCTCGTCCGCGTGCTGCAGGTAGATGGTCCCGCTCTGCTCCTTGACCAGCTCCTCCAGCGGGCTCAGCAGGTCTTCCAGCTCCTTCTGCTGGGACAGGATGAAGTCGAGCTCCTGGTCCAGCCTCTTCTGGTCCAGCTTCACTTTCTCCACCTCTCGGTGCAGGCTGGTGATCTTCTCTCCGTTCTCAATCAGCGTGCGGTCCCAGGCATTGACCTGGGTGGCCTGCTGGAGGAAGTGCCGCTCCTGGTCCTCCAGCTCCAAGCTCCATTTGTTGATCAGGCTCTCCAGCTGTGCATAGGTCATGGCAGAGCTGGTGGCCACCCCTGCGGCTGTACCGGGGCCAGGTGGAGCAGTTACGGCGGCTGCCGTATTGCTGGGGATCCCGGCTGGCGCCAGTGGTTTTAAATTCAAGGCAAAGCCGGTGCTGCTGGTGCTGCTGCTGGTGCTACTGGTGGTGGTGGTGGCAGTAGTGGATGTTGTTGTGGAGGGGCCGGAAGCTGCTCCGGGTGCCTTTAAGCTGAAGCTCAGTGTCCCAGCGGCAGGGGCTCCTGCTGTGGTCGCAGGGGTACAGAGGGAGAGGCTAGTGGTGGCGGATGAGGTTGGAGCGGTTGCTATTGAGGCAAAGAGGGTGGGCCCAGCACTGGTGGTGGTGGCCGTCGGTGTGGGAGCAGCTGGCTGAGTGGCGCCTGCTGTGGTGGCTGCTGGCGTGGCTGGAGTGAAGGACAACCCGGCAGGTGCTGTGGGCTGGGCTGAATTCCCCGCTGAGCCAATACTGAAACCGGAGGTTTGGGTCGTGCTTCCACCAGTGAACAAGAACCCACCCGATGTGGTGGCTGGAGCCACTGAGGTGGTGGAGGGGCCAAACACAAAGCCAGTGGGTGCTGTGCCCTGGCTGGAGGTGGCGGCGCTCGGCATGGCATTAGTGAGGCTGCTGCTGCCCAGCCCAAAGCTGCTGGGGTTTGCCATGGCTGGGGTGGCAGCTGCATTGCTCAGGTTTAGCTTTGAAGCACCAGTCCCCAGAGAAAACCCAGTGCCCCCCGAAGCAGGAGTTGCTGTTCCAAAACTGAAGCCTGGCGTCTGTGTGGCCGGAGTCTGGGTGGCAAGTGAGAACAGGCTGGTGGAAGGGGTACTTGCGGCTGGTTGGGAGGGAGCCCCAAAATTAAACCCTCCGGTGCCAGAGGTGGAGAAAGAAAACCCCGTGGCAGGTGTGGTTGTTGTCGTCTTCGCAGTGCCAAACGTGAACCCGCCTGTAGGGGCCCCAGTGCCTCCAAAATTAAACCCGCTCATGGCTCCAGACTGATGGCGGCAGCTACTCCGGCTCCCAGGGCAAATCCGTCGGTGTCTGCAACCTTGGGAAGATTTCTAAAGCAGAGGAAGCGACATTGTCAGATGGCAGTTTTGGAAAGGCAAGCTCAGTGGCACGCAACCCCTCTTCTTCCTGTGTAACCTAAGCCAGGCTCTGCTAAACCGAGGAGGATCCGAAAGCACCAGTGCACGTGCCAGGGGTCAGGTACGAGGAGCCGGGGTGCTAGGGACGTGTACGGCCACGTTTAGCACAGTAGAAGCTCCCACTCTGTGGAGGTTGAGGCGGAAGAGCAGAACCCTGGACCCACTTCGGCCCGAGGCGGGGATGAAATGTGAGGCACTGCCACCAGCGGGACTAGGACACAGAGGAACAGCTGCAGGACCTGCTCCGAGCATGGGACCCAGTGAGACTGCCCCACTGACGCTAGCAGGGTGTGAGTGGATCAGCTCATGCCGCCCTGAGGGCCTCTCTGGACCTCACAGAGAGACATGGGGCTGGGAACTCAGGCCAGATGGCAGAGCCTGGGCTGCTGAAGGCCCCCACATCTGCACTCTTTAGCAGGCAAGGATGCTGGAACGCCCTCTCTTAACTCGGGGTGGGGGGGTGTCTGAAACCCACGTGCTCAATAAGAGCACAGATACCCCTGGCTGCAGTGATTGGCTCAAGGATAAACTGAGACCTGAGCCAGTCAATCAGAGCCTCCCCTGGGGTTTCCTCCAGGTTTGGGAGGCAGCTGCCTCCTTTACCCGTAGGTATGGTGCAGAGGATTACACCTGGGCCTCCCCTGGATACCTTCTCAACCATCTGCAGACACTGGGACATCACCAGAGACCATGAGCCCCACCAGAGATGGGTTGAGGAGGGATAAAGAGCACCCCAGAAGCCCCATGGGCCACAGCATGTCCATTCAGTTCAAACTGACTAGATTTTGGCAATGTCTAACTGAAAAAGCTCCAAAGCATCTATCAGCAGGAAGGTCAAAGGTTACCTGGAGAGGAAAAGGTGAAGGAGTGCTGGATAGTGGTGTTTTTCTTTTTTTCTTTTGGGAAAAGGTTTTGCTCTGTCATACCAACTGTAATGCACTGACACAATCACAGCTCACTGCAGCCTTGACCTCCTGGGCCCAAGTGATTCTCCCACCTCAGCCTCCCAGAGTAGCTGGGATTACAGGTGCAGGCCACCATGCTCAGCTAATCTTTTTTATTTTTGTAGAAACCGGATCTCTGCTGCCCTGGTCTTGAAATCCTGGACTCAAGCAATCATCCCTCCTTGGCCTCCCAGAGTGCTAGGACTATAGATGTGAGACCCAAAGATGATCAGAAGTGTCCCTAGAAGACAGAGCCCGGGAGGATGTGACTGACTCGGGAAGAGAAGAAAGCTTGTGGTGACGAAAGCAGACTGGAGTGATGCGCTTTTGAATCTGAAGATGGCGAAGGCCAGGAGCCAGGGAAGGCAGAAGCAGCTCTAGAAGCTGGGAATGGAGAGAGCGAGACCCTGTCTCAAAAAAGAGAGTGAACAAAGTCACGACTGAGAAGCCAAGTGCCCGGCCCAGAGAAACACCCGTGAGGTCTGTTTCCTCTTCCCTCTCTCCAGGCCAGTTTTCAAGTTTCTTGGTGTCTGCCCTCAGGAAATCCCCTTCTAGCTTCAGTCAGAGGAAACCTACCTCACTACCCCCACCCATTCCACCTCCCTCAAGGCCCCTCATTTTTGTCTCATCTGCCTCTCCTCCTCCACACAGCCAAGTAAGTATGGGGAGACCACCCTGTGGCCGACCCAGTGGATCTCAGTGGGTGTCCACGAGCACCACCTGGGAGCATTCCAAACACACAAGGCTGCCGGCTCCGTGAAGCCAGTCTCTGCTGGGCTGGGATGCCGGCCCTGGCATATAAAGCTCTCCTGGGGGATTCTGACAAAGGTCTCTTCAGGAGGCCACAGCAAGTGCCTGAGCCCCCAGGACTGCTGGGGCCCTGCCCAGCTGCATCTAGTCCTCCCGCTGCGGGCAGAACACAAGTCCTCACTGCAGTGCAGTGGTGCAATCACGGCTCACTGCAGCCTCCACCCATGTGTGGTTCCCGGCAGCATCTGAGCAGCTACACCTACCCATCTCAGTTCTCAAGAACTCGGCTTAAAAAAGCTTTTGCTATTACTAAGCTGTAGCTAAAATTTCCAAGAAAAGCATTTATAAAAAGCTCTTTGCAACTATTAAAAAACTGCAAGAGAACACACACACACACACACACACACACACACACACACACACACACACAAAACTACAAGAGGGCCGGGCACGGTGGCTCACGCTAATCTCAGCACTTTGGAAGGCCAAGGCGGATGGATCACGAGGTCAGAAGATCAAGACCATCCTGGTCAACATGGTGAAACCCCGTCTCTACTAAAATACAAAGAATTAGCCGCGAGTGGTAGTGGGCACCTGTCATCCCAGCTACTCAGGAGGCTGAGGCAGGAGCATTGCTCGAACCTAGGAGATGGAGGCTGCAGTGAGTTGAGATTGCGCCACTGCATTCCAGTGTGGCCACAGAGCAAGACTGCATCTCAAGAAACAAACAAGAAAAACAGTCTCCTGTGGGGTCTTGTGTGGCTTCACAGTTCACCACTGATTAAGTGCACCGTTGGTTTCCAACACTTCAGATGCCCGGGATCTATTCACAATGGCAGCCCATACTGATCCAGCCCTGATGCATGCAGTTTAGATATAATACGGCTTGCGCAGTGGCTCACGCCTATAATCCCAGCACTTTGGAAGGCGGAGGTGGGAGGACTGCTTGAGCCCAGGAATTTGAGACCAGCCTGGCCAACATAGTATGATCCTGTCTCTACAAAAAATACAAAAACGAGTTGGCCATGGTGGCACCTGTACTCCCGGCTACCTGGGAGGCTGAAGTGGGAAGATCACTGGAGCCCAGGGAGGTGGAGGCTGCAGTGAGCCGTGATTGCACCACTGCACTGCAGCCTGCACAACAGAGTGAAACCCCATCTCAAAAAAGTAGGCTGGGCGTGGTGGCTCATGCCTGTAATCCTAGCGCTTGGGGAGGCTGAGGTGGCTGGATCACCTGAGGTCAGGAGTTCGAGACTAGCCTGACCAACATGGCAAAATCCCATCTCTACTAAAAATATAAAAATTAGCCAGGCATAAGGGTGGCCACGTGTAATCCCAACTATTTGGGAGGCTGGCAGATGCGGCATCAGCCAGGAAGAAGATGGGAGGCAGAAGGGTTGTCCAGGCAGGAGGAAGGGCCTGTGTGAAGGCAGGGAGGCTGAACCAGCAGCCGTGCCTCTAGATGTTAAGTGATTTGGTGCTTCCAGAGGGAGACATTTATGCGTGAAGGAATGACCTGCCAAGCCTGGGCTGTTCAAATCTGCACATTTCAGACAGAAATGGTCTTAGACCAGCTCCTGGAGAGAATCTCTATGTTCTTGAAATGTCCTGCCAGGTAAGAGTGCTTTCGTTCACCTGGGCCCTCAGGCCACTCTAGGGTGTCCATGCTAACGCTCTGACCTACAGCGGGGGCTTCGGGTCATTTGGTATGAGCGAGACCTCAAAGGGCTGGAGACTGCAGTCCTCAGTTCAGCCACACGGGTGCTCCATGCCTATAGAACTGCTCCTCCCCGCAACCTGGGCCGCCAACACTCCCTATGTGCACCACACATTGCTGCCAGGAGAGCTAAGGGCTGCCCGGGCCTCTCCCCTGGGAGAGGACAGCTGGGGGCTCATGCCTGGTCTCTTGCGGAGCTTTTGCATCTCTCCGCTTTGCTGTTCGCAGTCTGTATCCTTTCCCCGTGATAAACCGGGACCGTGACTGTGAGGAGAGAGCTATGTGGAGCGCTGTGAGTCCTAGCTCATCACTGAGCCGGAGGGTGGTCTTGGGGACTCATGGCCACGTGACGGGTGCGAGAATTTGGCAGAGCCACACACACCATGCAAGCGGTTCAGGCGTCATGCTGAGAGCGCCACAGGGGAAGTTATGGGTGTGGGGGATGGACCGGAGGGGTAGAGGCTGGCGGCCAGGCAGCTTAGAGAAGACTGGGAGGTCTGGGCCAAGAGCCTGAGGCCCAGACTGGGACTCAGAAAAGAGAGCATCACAATTTGAGCAAAGTGTTAAATCTGTACCAAAACCAAAGAGTCTGTTCCCCGTTACCAAAGCCTGCACCATGACACAGGGTCTGTCCAGGTTAATAGTGACAAGCCAGGCACGATGGCTCATGCCTGTAATCCTAGCATTTTGGAATCCAAGGCAGGAGGATTGCTTAAGCCAGGAGATTGAGGCAAAACCCCGAAAAAACCAAAACACCCTCAAACACCATAGACACCAGAACTTGGGAAGTTTCTCTAACATGCAAACAGTTATGAGCTCTGGTCCAGGAATTACCACATTTACGAAAGGGGAGAGTTTCCCTACAAAAGCCGCTGGTGCTGCAAGGAAGCAGGGAGGAAGCCAGACTGAGTGGTGCATTTCCAGGGAACGGAGGAGGATGTGCCTGGGCTTGTGCTCAGAACTGGGTGGCTGTGGCCACCATAGTTCACCCAGGCAGGATGGACTCCAGAGGGCGCTAGAGAAACAGTGCCTTGCGGTCACCAAGGAGACGTGCTGGCAGTCACCAGTCCCTTCCCGTCCTGCCTGCCCCAACATTTACCCTTGAGTTTCAAACAACGCAGATGCCTTCACGGTCCTGGGGACAGAGGAAGACCTGCTTGGGAATCATATGCAGACACATCCCACCCCCAGCTGCGGGAACCAGGGTTCTTTTTTTTTTTTTTTTTGAGACGGAGTTTCGCTCTCGTTACCCAGGCTGGAGTGCAATGGCGCGATCTCGGCTCACCGCAACCTCCGCCTCCTGGGCTCAGGCAATTCTCCTGCCTCAGCCTCCTGATTAGCTGGGATTACAAGCACGTGCCACCATGCCCAGCTAATGTTTTGTATTTTTAGTAGAGACGGGGTTTCACCATGTTGACCAGGATGGTCTCGATCTTTTGACCTCGTGATCCACCCACCTCGGCCTCCCAAAGTGCTGGGATTACAGGCTTGAGCCACCGCGC